GACTGTATATAATTAGGAAATTAAATTCTTTTTTGATTTAGATTTAACATTAGTTATGAACGTAGATTTAAAACTATTTTTCTTATTAAAGTGCAGGTCACTATGTACCTTCGTGTGTACATACGTGTTAGAAGCAAACTTTTTGTTGGTACGAGATCCTTGTATGACAAGGATTTGAAAAATGACAGGTGTCACTCGATTTTCATTTTGCGTGACAGGTGGTATGACGTAATTGGTCCCCATAGCAACTAAATTTTTATTAGCAAATTAAACTTTTTTTATATTTATCGAAAGAGCATTAATCAGGTATTCAAAATATTATAAAAAAAGATATGTTGAAAGTTTTTACTTAAAAAGATACAGGGGTAAATATGTTTTTATTAAACCGGAGGTAAACCGCTGCTTTGTGATTTTTAATAATTTTTAAAATACTTTCTTGAACACGAATTTTATGTTTTTTGAAACTTGCTTTTTATTATAGTTTAAAAAATATTAGTTATTATAAAATTTCTATTATTTAAAACAAACTTTAAACAAAAATAATTTTTTTTAACCTCCGGATTTTTACAACATTATATCTGTTTTGATGAAATAGTATGTTTCATGCTTGACGATTGTATTATTTCGAATGTTATGATAGTGTTATTTTATTTTTACATAATTCTACCTATAAGAATGCAACAATTCAAATGATTTGTTTTTGGCTTTTAAAAACGTTTCTGTACTGTCTTATTGCTGTTTCACATATTAAATATTATTAACAAGTGGAGGACGAAGAACGAAAAAAAAAAAACTTATTTTTGACTTTACTAAATGGATCGTTTGCCAGGAGGATGATCGTAAAAAAAAAGTATTTCTGTTGATTTGATTTAGATATTATTTCATATATCTACGTAAAAATATAAATCTACATATTTTACATCTCTTATCCTTTAAAAATACGATTTGATGCATTTTGGATATGTTCTTTAAGTAGTGTTTAAAAGTGTCTCCTAGCAATTACTAAATTTATTTTCAGATTGTAAAACCCAGTTTGCATGACGCTTTGGAAAAATTAATGATATGTTTAAGGCAAAGCTACTTCTATCATGACCCAGAGGCAATAGACTGTTACCAAAAGTTAAGAGAAATACCACGCGAGGAACTAGATTAAAAAGGTATTTATCACTCAGAATGTAACAAAAAGTTCACCCACCAAAAAAGTTTGCAACGTTTGCTTGAACAACACAGTATATTTATTGCAAGCAATCCTGAAATTAAATCCATAGAAGACATAGATGAATCAGAAGATTTAAGTCAAATGTCAAAAGGTAAAGAAAAATTGCTCCGTTCAAAATCTCAAGTCTACAACAGAGAACTTTGTATAATTTGTCAATATGAAGGCGGTGAACTTCGAAAAGTTGAGTTTACAGAGACTGGGAAAAAATTGTTAAAGTTTTTAATTTGCTTAATGATCAAGAATTCTTCCTTAGAATGAACACTATCCCAAATTCTGATGACGCCGTTGCAAATGATATTAAATAGCACTTAAAGTGTTGGGTAACAGTGCAGAGAACTGTTAAATTTCTGAAAATATTGTAATTTTTTATTTTAATACTTTCTGCAATATAGATTCTGATCATGCCTTAGAACAGGAAATCAAGATTTTGAAGGTGGCAGCAGGGGTGATTGGTATTACACAAAATCCAACGTGCTTAAACCGTTTTTGCCTTATTGCTCCTGCTTTAAACTCCATATCAAAAATATTTTGCAAAAAAAATGATATTGGATCACAATTTTGCAAACAAAACTACCAACTGGCGGGATCTACAAACAAAAAAATTTCATCTAATGCAAAAAAGTCATTGTTGCATTTGATACATTTGGCATCAACTTCAACAAAAATCAAATAGTTTTTAATCTTGTGTCCTAAGCCATTTTCCCAAAAGAAGTAGCAGATGAATTAGTTCATTATGGAAAGATCGGAGAAGATCTCTACCGTTCTTTTGTTAAAAGGAGACATCTATATGGATTATCATATATATATATATATATATATATATATATATATATATATATATATATATATATATATATATATATATATATATATATATATATATATATATATATATATATATATATATATATTATGTATATATATATATATATATATATATATATATATATATATATATATATATATATATATATATATATATATATATATATATATATATATATATATATATATATATATAAAGTTCATAACAGTATTAAAACTTGGAAGATAATACTTATGTTATTTATTGTCTGTGGTAGTGTTTTCATTCTATCACATCATGTGTATTATTTACTGTAATAACTGTGTATGTATAATTGATAAGTTAACTGATATCGGCTTATAATATTTAAAACAAATAGTAACATTGTAATATGTACCTTGATCATGCCTATAAGCACGATACATATACACCTTACATATATATATCTTATGCAACAAAAATACTCATGTTTGTTTAATTATTCAAGATTTGCTGCAATTCTTATTAGCAAAAAAGTCTCAAAACTGCGAAGAGATAAGATTAGTTTTTGACAGGTACATTGAACATTCATTAAAGTCTAGAACAAGAAAAAAACGTACCTCTGGCAATGAAATCAAAAATAAAGTAACTGATGACTCTATATTTTGTAATAAGTTGCTAAAGCAGTTATTGAGGCACATTAAAACCAAGCAAGCTTTTACCGAATACCTTGCTGAATATACAAAAAATAATATAGGTAGTGCGGTTCGCTTCATTATAACATATTCAAAAACAACAGAAGTAAATATTGAACATCTATCTGCAGAAATGATGAATCATGATTACGAAGAGGCTGACACTTTGTTAATTCTGCATGTCATAGACGTTGCAAAAGAAAACCCATTAAGAAATGTAATATGCATTCACAAGATACTGACGTTTTTCTACTTTTAGTTCATTTTTATCAAGTCCTGCCACGTGTCGCGATTTTCTGAACCGGTAGATGGGATAAGGAACAAGATATCCTGATTCAAAAATGTTACGAGCACAAGTTATTTTAGGTATTTTTGTTTATATTTTTGTTGTTTCTCATTTCTAATCAAAGTAAGGGTTTTCATGAAGTTTTTTATTTCTTTAGTTTTTCACGTTTTTATTGGCTGTGATCAAATTGAACGCTTTTCAGGAATCACTAAAAGTCATGGTGGAAAGAATTTATAAAAGCTGACGATGGAACCCTAGCTGCATTATCAAACCTTGGCCAATTAGAAGCTTTACCTGATCTGTTTACAATAAACAACATTTAACGTTTTGTTGTTAGAGTCTACGGTGATAAAAAACAGACAGAAGATGTTAATACTCTTTCACAACTTCGTTGGATCCTTTTCTCTAAATTTCAGTGTGACGTTGCATCACTTCCACCAACAATGAATGTCCTTAAGAACCATATATTCCGTAGTCGCTTTGTATGTTTAGTGCTTAAACGCTAAAACATGCCCGTACAGTATCTACCATTGCCTGTGGAGTATGGTTGGGAACTAAACAATGGATCTTTTGACCCCATAATGACTCATAACCTGCTAGCACGAATAGCACTTATAAAGTTGAGCGTCTATCGTTGTTAAGGAGACTGTAGTAATAAAAGGTGCAAATGTTTGATAAATAAACTTGTCTGTACTGATATGTGCAAGTGTAAAGGATGTAAAAATAATAATGTAGACAACCAAAAGGAAAACTATGACTATGAATGTAGAGATTTATAAGACGCAATTTAATTTGTTCGTATCATTAAATACTAACTAGTAAGCACGTTGATTTTAACATATACTTCTAAAATTTAGAAAGTTTTTGAGTTTAAGAATGAATTTTTAGAATATTTAAAGCTTTTCATTCAATAAATGTCTTTAATTCTATTTACAATATATCCGGAGGTCTTTTTTTCTCTTCATTAAACATTGTGAATTTTAAATACTATTTTGGTTTACATATGATATTGTTTATAATGTTTATACAATGCCAATATTAATATATATTAGCTCAATTATTTCAATTCTACTTAATTTATCTTTTATCTTATTAATTTTTGTAAATGACCCTTGGTTTTTGAACTTACATAAAGTCCTATATCTTATGAAGTAAAAATTTCCAACATGTTTTATATATATATTTTTTTCAATTTATTTAGGTGTTCACAGAAGACCTAACGGTCTTGTTACAGAGCACCACGGAAGTGCAACCAGGAAGTTCACGCCTCCTTCCTTACCGTGACGCGAAAATATGTTCAAGGCTCGTTTCGAACCTAGATCTCTTGCTTATAAAGCAAGAGCTCTAACCACTGCGCCACGGCCGCAGTGGTTGATTTTGATAGCTTATTTAATGTTCTTTCTAATGGTATAAAATGTTTTTAAAATTAAGAATTAATTTTTTTTTTTTGCTATGGGCCCTATTGCGTTATACCACAAACCTTAAATATATAGTGACACCTGTCATTTTTCAAATTCTTTTCATACAAGGTTGTCATACTTTTCATCAACAAAAAGTTTGCTTGTAACACTTATGTGCACACGAAGAGTTTTTTTTAAACATAGTGACCTGCACTATTATAGGTGGGGCACCGGGTTTTGGCCCAAAAAGCGCTCCAGTAAACCCAGCCTGCCAATAATCATTTTTATTTTGAACTAATTTATTGAATTTTATTGAAATCTTTCAGAAAACATACCAAAATCCACTTTCCTTTTTTTCCATAATTGAATATGTCTCTTACATTTATACTTAAATTGTTTTCTATATTTATACTTTTATGTAATTGTTGTAAATCAGAAACATCCATATAGTTGCCAACTAAGTTATGAGATATCTTTATATCGTATAGTTATATTTTAAGGAAATTATGCAAAGTTAAAATTTCTTTAAATGTTAAAGATTCACTAATTGATAACTTTAGGTTGACTTATATTATCGGTAACTATAAATTGATTTAAAAAAATAAAAAACAAACAG